CCCGTTCACACTGATGACGAGAAACGTGCGCCAAAACAACCCGGGGCGGCACCGCTTGGACTCCGCGTGACGCTCGTGCCGGTGCGCATGCACGCGCGCGTAGGTATAAAAATCCCACAGCACAACACCCTGAAACATCATCGCCTCGACCTCGGAGTCCAAGACACCTTTTTCCGCCACTTTCTCGCGACACCGACGCCACGTCGTCGCACAGCCACCACCCCGCCATGGCGCCGAGGCTGGAGCGCGGCGGGTTCCAGCTCCCCAACACCGAGCAGGAGAACTCCCTCTTCCTCCGCGCGCTCATCTCCGTCGTGTCCGGGGACACCGCCGCGTTGCCCCCGGTGGCGTCAGCGGCGGCCGCAGTAGAGGCTCCGGCTCCCGCTCCCGCGGCGTGCGCCAGGTGCGGCGTGGACGGGTGCCCCGGCAGCGGCTGCGAGCTCGTCGCCGGGTCGAGCAGCGACAGCAACGGCGCAGAGTGCTCCGCGTCCGCGAGCCGCAGCAACGGCGGAGGAAGCGTGGGCAAGCGGAGAGGGAGGGGGAAGAGGGTGAGCCAGTACATGGGCGTGCGGCGGCGGCCGTGGGGCAAGTGGGCGGCGGAGATCCGCGACCCGCGCCGCGCCGTGCGCAAGTGGCTCGGCACGTTCGACACCGCCGAGGACGCCGCGCGCGCCTACGACGTCGCCGCGGTCGAGTTCCGGGGCCACCGCGCCAAGCTCAACTTCCCGGCGGACGCTGCCGCCGCGGCGCCGGCGCCTTCGTGGGCGGGGGCGGCTGTGCAGCCGCACCACCGTCCATTGCCCGATCATCAGAGCCTCCGCGAGAACTGCGGGTCCAACGCCGCGTCGCCGGTGCACGTGGCGCAGGCGCCGACCACGCAGCAGGGACTAATAAGGCCGGTGCCCAAGGAACAGGACATCTGGGACGGCTTGAACGAGATCATGATGATGGATGACGGCAGCTTCTGGTCCATGCTATGATCCTGCTCCTGCACCTTCGTCCATCCATCTCCGGATCTTTTCCTCTTGTTTTAGTGCTTTTTATTTTAGGGTTAAGTCCAATTTACACCCTCCAACTTGCAGCAAAGTTCGGATTTTAACCTCGAACTTCAAAACTGGACAACTTTGGTCCTCCAACTCTTGAAAAAGTTCAACTTTCGACCTTGTGGCGATTTTGCGGGTGAACAAAATTGTCGCGTGATGAGACTCAAATTTTAAAAAATAGAAAACCCTTCAATACGATGTCGGATGAAGATAATTTTTATATCTAAATTGTAGATCTCGATGAGATCTACAACTTTGTAGTTTTGAGTTTTTTCTTTTGAGGACAGTAAGATGCTCGAAAAAATAATATAAAATTTCAGCACCATATTTTATCGCGTGATGAGACTCAAATTTCAAAAAATAGAAAACCCTTCAATCCGATGTCGGATGAAGATAATTTTTATATGTAAATTGTAGACCTCGTAGAGATCTACAACTTTGTAGTTTTGAGTTTTTTCATTTGAGGACGTTAAGATGCTCGAAAAAATAATATAAAATTTCGACATCTCCCGAAAATATAAAAAGTTACTGTTCACCCGCAAAACCGCTCACAAGGTTGAAAGTTGAACTTTTTCAAGAGTTGGAGGGCCAAAGTTGTCCGGTTTTGAAGTTCGATGTTGAAATCCGAACTTTGCTGCAAGTTGGAGGGTGTAAATTGGACTTAACCCTTTATTTTATGATGATGAGATTCCATGATTGTTTTTTTTAGGAAGAGATTCCATGATCTCCCTCTGAAAAGAGAACACTTAGGCTTCATGAGATTGCTTGGCATGCAGACGTACGTAAAGTAAGTTTTAATTTGGTGCCATAGCTCACGGTGGCCACCAGATTCGTCAGTCACCAATCGCTTTCATATGACTTTTACACCGACCTCTGACCACCGTCGTCCGTTTACACAGTACTATGTGAGTCGATGAGTGGCTACAAAGAATCCAGCTAGCGTTCCTCCGTTCGTTCGCCTTCGTTACCTTTGACCACGGGCGCTGCACGTATGCACGTGCACCCACCTCCACCTTTACTGACAAACGTTATAAGCTCATGGCTGAACTGTCGGCTGATTTGGTGTGAGAGAAAAATAATATTCGTTGACTGATAAATCATAGCTTATAAGCCAAATACGCGAACAGGCTGTTAGTATGTCCGTATCCCGACCGACGTTGATGCATTGATGCAAGCCGATTCAAGACGTAGAAGGGATGCATGCGGACAGGCAACTCCGATCTGTCACGCTTTCGCTGTTCACCCTACAATGATGCATCAGTTGGTAGTTCTACTTCATTGTAGTTTTTTTTTCTTTGACGATGAAGCAGCTCCGATAGAATTTAAGGTGTTTTGCGACTGCACCTGTGGTCTAGTGAGACGTTATCCATTAGGGTTTGAACCCTGTTGATCGTATCTTTTTTTACAATTTTTTCAAAAATTTTAAGGTACACGTATGCATGCGCATTCGGTGGTACTGCGCGTTTCTCGCGCATTAGAGGCGGCGACGCCGTCTCCCAATCACTTCTTTCCGTGTGTATGGACGCGCATGCGTGTGTCTGCGTGTGGTGTGAGCGTGAAGTGTGTGTTTTGTGTGCGACCAAGTTGTACTCGATCAAAAAAAAAGAATTTTTGGTGTTTTATAGAAAAAACAAATTTGATAAAACATTTTTCCTAAATATTAAAAACACTCAAAAATAAAATGTCTATAATATCTTTTTCTTTTTTCTTCCTCTATTTATTTTCTTTCTCACTTATGACTTATTTTACCCTTTTCTCTCTTCTCTATGCGGCTTATCTTCTCCACGGGATCCTTCTCCTCCGCACGAGGAGACCCTTCTCCACCACACAGTTTTAGGGTCTATTTAATAACCCTAACAGGACAATTTTGATCCTAGACAGTTAAAATCCAACGTTTGAGAATGTTTTGCCTACCAAACAGATGTATTGGGTGTCAAACTAAATAGATGCTTATTTTATTATTTTTAGCTACCACATTAGTAAATAGTATTTGAGTCAGGGCTCAAATAACCTCTTCAATGCATGGTTTTTATTTTTTATGTTTTTATGAAATTGTTGCATTTAAACTTGGAAACTTTGTCTATGAAGTTATCTAGTATGGTTAGGTGCAATCCTATCAAACGAGAACAAAGCTCCCATTAAGATGGGTCCAAGGCTAAATGGCTAATCCAAGTGGACAGTAACATACTTATTAATCAGATGTTATATAGAAAAACTATGTAGTGTTATATAGAAAAATTATATAGTGTTGAGGGACTAGATCTCCTTGGAGAAGACCCAAATAGAGGTTTAGGTTGCTTCATGTAAAAATCAGTTTCATCAAGGGCCTGCTTGTAAGTGACCACTTTCCTATGTAGAGTGCCTAATAAGTGCATAATGAGGGGAGGAGAGAGTTCTCTAGAATGGAAAGGAAGCCCTAATTCTTGTTATCCTGAGCTAGAGAATGAAGAACGTTCAAGGAAAGGTTAATTCTCCGAGAGCATTCGAGAGAAGGGTTTAACCTCCGAGAGACCCTTTAAAAAAAGGTTTAATCTCCAAGAACCTTTGAGAGCATTTAAGACCAGGTTTAACCTTCGAGAACCTCGGAATGAAGGTTAAACCTTCTTTAACATAGGAGAACCTCCAAAGAAACGTAGAACCTCTAAAATCTCCAAAGGAAGGTAAGGCTTCGAGAACCTCCAAGGGAAGTTGCGGCAATCCAATAAAACCTTCGCTGGTCTTTGTAAAAGCGTTCTGATGAAGTGAAATAAGATCTCCGAACGTTGTTTCACCAACGTGTACAATCTTAAAGTTTATTGTCAAACAATATAATGATACCATATGTTGAGGGAGTTATATTATAATTATCATAACAATGTAAACGCGTGATCACTGAGGACAGCGGATAGCCATAGCCTAAGCCAGACGGCAATGGGCAACGCGCAGCACCGCCCGGAAGCAGACAGCTTGTAGAGTTGTAAGGTGTAGCAGACCACGTGGATCGGACTTGCTTCGGAAGTTCGGAGTGATATTCTTGTTTTTTTATATGCTTACTAATAAACAAGTGATATTCTTTTGGAAGCAACTAGATGACCATAGGAAAATCGTATTGTATATTTTATACACAGTACAGGCAATAATACGGAGCACGTAGCCACGTCGTACGAGGCTGGTACGCGCCTACGCGGAAAGCACGTCGGTGCAGTCGGCGAAGCCGATCGGTGCAATCAAACAGTTGGTCTTAGCTGGATCACCATCAATCACAATCAGGATTGTATTGACCTTGAAATTTGTTTGTGATTTTTTTAAAGTTTTTGTGTGGCGGCTTAGCACTGGCGTTGAGAATAAATATTGGAATATGATTATGCTATTTTTTATAATAATTTTTGAAATCTCGTGTCCTCCGTACGAATCATTTGTAGTTTTATACCACTGGAAGGTATTGCTGCGCTACTGTATGATTGTTTTATCATGTTACTCTCGGTGGTTACAAATGCTTGTCATGTATACTCTGTACTCTCAAGCTAAACTTTCGATGCATTTCTTGAAAAAAGAAAACACCCATTTTTTCGGGAAAAAAAGAAAAAAAACTAACGAAACAGTGAATGCAGACGAACACGGCCCGGCAGAGGCCCATCTGTTGTTTCCCGTCTCAGCCTGAAAAAAGAAATACCACCAACCAGTTCGTGCAGTCCACAGACCACAGATAATGTGGCCCAAAAAGTTGTCATCACCTTATCAGATCGGAGCCTGGCAAACAACCACATTCTTGCGCTTTTCCGCCTAGCATCAGCATCACAGCCCGTCAGCCTTTGAACGAAGCAGCGAACGCCTCTAATTCCATATCCAGAACCGAGAGCTTCCTGCCCAACACCCCCGGCCAAAAGACAAGAGCAAGCACGAACGCCCAATCCCCCGGCTGTATTTTGTCCCGCAAGACAACAAACATCTCCGGCAGCTACGGTGGCTGTGGCAGCCATGGCGTCCACTGTAACAGCCGCCAATAGCCATGGAAGCGTCCTGCGTACCCGTACCGCCCCCTCCTGCAGGCAGCTCGCAGGTTGGAGCAGCAGACGCACGCTTGCCATGCCTGCACACCACGCGCGGTCACCCAGAGCTCGAGTTGTCGCCGTCCGAGCCGCCGGCACCCAGCGGCCGACCTGGTTGCCCGGACTGGACCCGCCTCCTCACCTCGACGGCACGTCGGTTTTCTGACGCTCTGATATCTCCCGGTGTTTCTCTGCAGGCGATGATCAGTTGACAGTGTAGCGTCTCTGATTGCAGACTACCAGGTGATTTCGGCTTCGATCCCCTGGGCCTCGGCGAGGATCCGGCAAGCTTGAAGTGGTACGTTCAGGCCGAGCTCGTGCACTGCCGCTTCGCTATGGCAGGGGTCGCCGGCATCCTTTTCACTGACGTAAGTTTCTCACCTTCCCGTCTGTTTGTCAAAGTACTCCCTTTCATTACATGGACTTCACAATAACGAAGCCAAGCCAAAGACAACTCCAATTAGAAAACTGAACCAGCCAAGACAACTCCAATTAGGAATTGCTGATGGATTCAACACAAAAGTAAACACCCTCAAAAAATTTCAGTTACGAATTGTGGGCTTTACCCTGGTTAGAGGGAGCCCTTCAAAATTCTCTCTGGCCCTGGTGGGCCGCAGAGGGGTTTGAAATAGTTTTCAACCAGCAATTGACGCGCCTCGGTATTACCTCATGAGCTGCGTCATTGCCCCAAGCGCAAAGATGAGTTCCAACGTCAGCCCACAGCCTGGTTTTATACATCTCTGAGGACGCGCGTTCGCTAACATAGGCGATGCGGTACTAAACGGCAAACCGACCTACTACTGCTGTGTGTTATCCCGGCGGGCTCGGCCTGCAAAGCTGCAACGCCAAGTAGAGCTGCCCAAGTGCCGATTTGGGCTTTTCCTCTTCCATTTTACTCCCTGCTAATCATGGGCCTAGTAGCGAAAGCCAAGATTCACATGGGCTTTACTGATTTGGAGAACAAGGCTGACTCCTCAACCCTTGCTTTGCTTGTGACTCTTTGGTTTTGCAGTTGCTCCGTGTATCAGGGAACAGCGACCTCCCGTGTGGTTTGAAGCAGGTGCGGCGAAATTCGACTTCGCAAACACCACGGCGCTCTTCTTCGTTCAGCTTCTCTTGATGGGGTAAATTCAACTTTAACATCCAAACATTTCGATAGAAAATGGGATAGGCTGTGATTTGATTTCATGTTTTCTATTCAACTCCGCTCCCGACAGATTCGCTGAAACAAAGAGGTACATGGACTTCAAAATCCAGGATCACAAGCAGAGGAAGGAACATTCATAGGGTTAGAGGCTGCACTTGCAGGTCAACAGCCAGGGTAAGTGAGCGTTGAAGCATAAAAATTTACCTGACAGGACTTAGCTACGCTCATTACGTTTTTTTTCAATTTCGACAGCTACCCTGGGGGTCCACTGTTCAATCCACTAGGACTTGCAAAGGATATAGAGAATGCTCATGAAGAGAAGCTGAAAGAAATCAAGAATGGTAGGTTCCTCTCGGTACAATTTGCGAGAAAAATAAGCCTACACTTAGTTTGCTAATAACGTGATTTCTTACTGTCACAGGGAGGTTGGCAATGGTAGCCATGCTTGGTTTCATGGTGCAAGCATCAGTAACTCATGCCGGCCCTATCGACAATCTTTTGACACACCTTTCGGACCCGTTCAACAAAAATATCATCCACGCATTCTCCTCTTCCTAAGTACTCGTCCCAACTCCCAAAACCTTTGTTTTCCCTGTCCATTGCTATGGCACAAAAAGGTCACAATGTCTTCTAACAGGAAGTGGCCCTTGTTAGCTCTGCTCTTCGCAGTTTTCTATCATGAAAATTGAATAAAAGCTTCAATAGCTGACGAACTGTATTAATAGCTCATGGTAGGGGGGACGGAAGACAAGGAAATACAGCTTATCATTCTTTGCCATTGATCATAGTCCTCAGTATATTTGCCCACTTTCATTTTCTTGGTCGATTTTTTCCCAGTTCAAGCATGCTATAATTGCATGAACAGATGCTATGAGAGATACAGATAATTTTTTTTAGAAAGGCGGGAGATACAGATAATTTATATGTACAAAACCGTTATAGTTGCCCTAAGCTTATATATACCTGACCACAAGCAGCATACCGTGCCATTTCGTATTAACTACATCACTCAAATCTTGCCTTCAATATAAATACAAACTCGAACCTATATACCTGAAAAATTCATAGCACAAAGCATTCGGTTGTACTGTACATATATGAATTAAACAAAGAAAAACACCGCATCTAGTCATCTACAGCTCACCCGTATCAACTAGCTTGAGGCCCCAGCTCATGTCTTCACAGTGTCTTACATGTGGAACAAGCTTTCCTGTATCAGTTCCCCTCCTAGTTTTGCAATCATAGAAAGGTGGAGCATGAAAGCACGGCTCTATAGACATAACTTGACGGCAAGGTGGATTAGGCACGGTGCGGTTTTCCGGCTTGAACATTAGCCACGTCTTCGAACCACTCAGACCCTGAGCTACATACCCAAAAGTTGACCATGCACTTGTTACCATAACATCAGATAAGCTCAACAAATAAATCTCTGCCCATGCTTTCATGTTATGCATTTTCTTGTCTGAATCCTGATGCTCCTCGTGACTTGGCTGATGGAAGCTAATTATCTCACCATTCTCAGTTGGATGTTCCCAATACATGTTCCTGATTCTTTCATAGTATCCTGAGTTCAAAGAAGTAATCAGAACAACTTTGGACCTGATGTTCCCTGTCGAGATAATTGGCTGTTGTGCATTAATCTCTGGTAGTAATTTTTCCTTCAGTGTGCAATCAAGGACCTGATCCAAGACATGCTGAAATGGACCGGTTTCAGTATCGAAGACTCTAATCTGGATACCTAACTTCTCATCAGCTCTGGCCAGATAAGAATCATAGTACCTAGTAATCAAGCCCCAGACAACATTGGTAGGGTGGAACAAGTAACGTCCCAAGTGATGGAAAACAACATCTTTCTGAGGAAACAGCCTCGTGAGTTCCTCTTGGTATGATGGGATCAGAAAAAGTGAAGGTACAAAGTAATTATCGGATCTTAAGATCAGCCATGGGATCTTCTGAAGATGTTGCTGACTATGTTCACAGAAAAAAAGCTTATCATAATCATCATAGTCATGAGCCAGGTGAAGATATAGAAAGGCAGGTTTAGGACCCTTAAAAGAACCATCAGAGTGAATAGCTTCAGCTTTCACCATGTTTCCGTAACTCTCAGGGGAGCCAATACTGAAGTTTTTAAATTGAACAATAGGGAAATCCGGCGGTAGTAACCATGAAGTTTCAGGGAACGGTTCACAGAAAAGATCTGCAGTGCCTTTATCTCCATCTACAAGTAAAACTCTGTTTGTAAGGATGGCATAGAGAAATGCTGAGGCAATAGTCAAGATCCTGTTCCCAAGACCACTATAAGATACCCATACCAAATAGTTGCAATCTCCAGCCATAATATCCTGACCAGATTTTAGTTGCTCAATAGCTTTCTTGTATGACTCTGTATTCGGGCCACATTTCTTCTGGAGAACCTCATGTTCTCTCAATCTTTCCAGAAGGTATGTTGATATTAAATGGGGCGATTCTTTACGATACAATGCTGATCGATATCTACTTATACATGAATGTTTATCAAAACCAGGAGCTAACAAGCCACCAATTAGTCTGTCCCTTTGAACTTTGGAAGACAACATAGTTCCATGCTCCCCTGAACACAGGAAGTGAATAGTTTTATATCAGAGTTCAGATGGGATAATTTGACTTCATTCTGTGTAAGACAAATGCTACTTTTCGTTCTTCCATTATATTACATTCATGACATATACATATGTGAGGTCGTGGATATTCTCAGAAAAGAAAAGGAAAGAAAGGTGAGGCAACAGTGAATTATTAACTTTAATTATCAGTTCAATAGAAACAAAAATCTATGCTTCCACGAACAGCATCATGGCAAAACTTAAATGAGACCTTTTGCCACAGTTTAAGTGGCAAACCAGAACAAATTATTTTATCACAGATGCTATGTGAACGGTGAACCGCCTATAAAAATAAGTACTGGGGATGATACCTACATGCTAAAACACAGTAGCAGTAGCGGTAGCTAGTGCAAATCAAATGTCCACTACTTCAAATGCAGCTATAGGCGAGAACATATTGCAAGATCAAGACTCCACACATACACAATGGTGCTATGCACGTTCTCGAAAAAAAAAAAAAGTGTTACACTGCAGGCGTCAACCAAGGTAACTTAAGACCACTGCGCTTAAAAATATTTTCAGTGACAATTACTATCCCTCCACAGCGATCGATATCCACTTCGCATCACTCACTGAAAGCTAAATTGTTACTGGCCTACTATATATACGTCCTGTTTGCTTGCTTATAAACCATACTTTTTCAATCAACAAACAGTATTTTTCTCTCACAACAAATCAGTCAACAGTACTTTCAGCCATGGCTTATTAGCCAAACGTAGTAAAAACAAATGACTGGTACTACGGTTACAGTAAATTCTTCAAAAGCTACACTAACTACAGCTACAGTAATAGTATGGAGCATAGCATGAGAAAGTCACGAAACCCCAGACATTGATTAAAGACTGACGTCAAGTCTGCCATACAACTCGTCACGCCGCGACCCGCACAAAGTACTAGGAGAATTTCAGAAATGCGACCAGATGGCAGTCCCAAACAGTCGAAGACCAAATGGAAACTGTCAAACCGAGGACCACGCGCATGTAGTTAACGTACCATCGCGCGGTCCGGCCTGGTCAAGGCCGCCACGGTCGTCGCCGCCGCCGGAGAGAGTGGTACGATCCGCGCCGGAGAATTGGCAGCCCCTCCTCGCCGCGGAGCCGCCCGCGAGCAGCAGCAACATGACCCCGCACGCCACGAGCGCCGCGATCGACAGGGGCAGCACCGCGACCCGGCCCTTCCTCCCGTGCGGGTGCCCGGGCGCGGACGCCGCCTCCCCTACCGCCTGCGGCGTCGGCATCGGCGGCGGCGAGCGGCGGATCCGCTCCTTGATGTCCATGCGGCGTGGCGCCCGAGCCGAGCCGCAGGGTTCTTCAGTTCTCCCCGCGCTTCTGCCGCGGTGTGGTCTGTGGAAAAGCACAGAGGAGTCCGCGGTCGCGACGTGGGGCGTCGTGTCGCGCCACGAAAGGCGCAGTTCGGGCGCGGACCCGCACGGCTGAAATAGAGGGCGTTTACGAGGCCGAGCACGTGATGGGGGCCGAGTGGCACAAGGGTTTTCGATGCGTTTGAGGTGAAAACAAGTGGGGTCCCGTACAGCGGCGACGTGACGGCACGGTGCCGAGTGGGGGCGTCCTCGGCACGAAGTTGTCGGTGAAACTGGAGCGACTAGGCGTGGCGATGGAGTCAGGACATCGGACGTGGGGTTCTCGCCTGTTGCACAGTCGTGCCGCGGAGTGAGGTAGTTGAGTCGTTGAGCACTTGCTGGCCGGCCGACCGGGTCATGTCGCTGGGGTGCCGGGTTCGACTTCTGCTTTGGGGCGCATTGACGGGGACTCGCCGGCGTGTGCTTCGTGACCGCTTTGGGGCGCATTGGCTGTTTGGATCCGCTTGTACAGTTTTTTTGATAAGGGTTCGTGGAGACAATAAGAGAGAGTTGAAGAAGAAAATCATGTAACCCCTGTTTGGTGTGAAAGTTTCAAGTAGGAAATCATATGACAGGTCATGATGAACAGTGATGATGTATTTATTTTTCATTAAGAGCATAGTTCTCATCCAATTGCCACCCCTTCCTAGAAAATTGATAAGTGAGAGTTGGCCCTCTAAACTCTCGTTACCTAAAACTCTATGAAACAAACAAATGATTTCTAAACTCCTACCTTCAAACTCTTATTCCATCCTTTCAATTACCCCAACCAAACCTGCCATCAAAGAGTCATTTTCAAGACAAGGGTCATCCAAAACCTTTTTCTACTAAACCATGGAAAACATCTTTTCCCAACTACCATCTTACCAAATTTAAAGATAGGCCTAGCTATATCCTCATGAACTCCAAAGTCAATAATTAAAGGGACATGGTCACTAAAAGCTTTGGATCCTATGTCCTAACAACAGCTAGGAGCTACTTTCAAAAGCAACGCTGCCAAAAACCGAGGGCAGTCATAATTAATTGTTCCTGATTGTTTCACCAAGTGTAAGCCCTACTAGAGTTCTTATATTCATTGCACCAGTCATTTAACATATATTAGCCCAATGATAATTAATCATCCCATTATTCTTCTCATTTTGAGTTCTACAATATTTAAATCCTCACCGACTAAGGTTGGTCTATTTCAATTATCCATCACCATATGAAGTCCCTTAATAAACTCTTGTTTACCTTCCTCATAAGGGGTGCCATACACCACCACTACTAGGAATCTGCACTTACATGACGAACAGCTTTTGTCACTGAAGATGCCAAATTCATCATAATTTCAATTTTATGATGAATTTATGACGAAAAACGGTTCGTCATAGAAAGCGTGTCACATTTGAACTTTCGTGACGAATCCGAATACATCGTCATAGAAGTGGTTTGATCTGTGACGAAAAACTGACCGTCATAGAACTATTTTGGCATGCGTGGCAGGGGGCTGCCACGCTGGTGGCTGCTTCCGTTGGAGATGATTTCTACATATACATGCTATAGCCGGTTGCACTGGA